GCTGACACACAATGATGTATGATATGTTTAGTTTGTTTACCTGAATGACAGGTAGCATGGAAGGTATTTATAGAGCCATGAATATATTTAAGCTTGTTACAAGAGGATATATGTGTGTTATTTATGAGGCATAACCAGTTGGTTATAAAATTTCTATGATTATATCTCTGTGCGGGAAAAGGCCCAAAAATAAGTTTACAGGCAAAATATGATAACACAATTTGTCCAGTTTGTGCTATGGTAATTTTAAATGCCTTTAATAAATATTTTAAAATATAACAAAAATGAATGGAAATGTCTCAAATTATTAAAAATAGAAGTCAGATTTATCAGAGCATCTGCATTATAATAACCTAATTTCAATGAATTTGAGAGCTTAAAATAGATTGCAGCATGATCAGTAAGGAATGAAACAGTTTTAATGAATATATCCCATAGTAGTTTTAAAATTACTTATAATAGTGTGGGCTTGAGTTACCACATTGCTGTTGTTTATTGATGTTAATAGGATCTCCAACCTATTTTGCGTAGAAGTACTATAGGCTTTTATCCTTAATCTAACCTCATCTTTATGTTGGTTAGCTGAGGGCGCAACAAGTGATGCTATCATGCCTGTTTGTCTATCATGGCTGATATTAGGTAGTAGCAGTGACAGATAGGAGCCTGACCTAGCAAAACTGTGGAGGTGGGTCTAAGCAACCAAGTAGATGTCCATGATCGGTTGTTTACTATAGTGACACCAGTTCTCATATCCAGCAATGCAGTAAGAATTTTGTCAATTAATTTATGAGTACTTGTATGAAGTGACATACCCTGGCAAAAACAAAGTGTATTGCTTAAAGGCTTGCTTTTAACAGGTTCTTTCACAGGGTTAAGGGCAGGAGTGGTAATTTCATTGGAAATCAAAATTGGCTTTTTTACTTACAATGAAGGACTGCAAGGAGCTGCAGGTATATTGATTGTTTTGATGGACCAGAGAAACTAGGGACACAGAGATTGTTGGTAATCTGATTAGGGGTAGAAAAAAACAGTTTAATTGGTTTTGAATTATTGGAATATAGGCTGAGAGGTCTCCTACTCTTTTGAGATATTGTGTTTGGGCACATGATTTGTTCTTCTGCAAGAGTGTGCCATTCTTATGAATTTGGATTTACAACATTTCTTCCAGTGGAATTCTTTCATACAACATGGACATAGATTAGGTGCAGCCTGAGTAGTTAAAGGGGCTGATGCTTTTAGAGATGCTTAATAATGTCTGCTAATATGTTCTCCTTTTTCACAATTAAAATATTTAATTACATTAAATGCAATTTATCAGTAAGATGTTGGGATATAGTCTATGTTATGAGTACTGAACCATAGGTTGTGGATACAACATTTTGATATGTTTGAACATAAGTGGATAAATCTTTAGTGTGAAATACTGATGCTAAGGCTCTTTTGCACTCTTCATTAGAATTGCCATATGCTAACTGATGAAGAATAATTTTAGTTGCCTCCTTACAAGAGACCTGTCTACATATTGCTTCCTGTAGTCTAGCCTCAAACTGAGTGTAAATTTCTGTAGGGTCTTGTAAAATTTGGGTTGGGTAGGGTAGAGTAGAGGGTTAATTAGGTATACTATCTTCTGGGCCAGAAATCCATGCATGATGTCAGTAGTTCTTTACATTGCATGAAAAGAGGAGGTGGGGCACACACTTGAACTTTTAGGTCAGTGCATTGTCTCACACCATACAGCATGTCTTGTGCTATAGCCTGAATGTTTTCATCTTTACTGTCCTGTTTATTTTGTGCTTGCTCTGTAATGAGTGTCTTAATTGTAATTCAAAATGTAGAAATTGTGTGGGTGAAAGGCTTGCAAGCTAGGTGGGTCACATCACTTGGTATCATTTGAAAACCTTGAATTACATTGTGTAAACAACCCAATGTGTAAGGAACCTGAACCCCATTATCAAGGACACTCTGAGTTCTTCAAGGGGAAATTAAAAGCAGTGCATGTCCCATGTTTTCTTGTGTGATTATCTGGATCATTGTACTCAGTTAATGAGAAACCTATAACCTGAGCACAGACCATGTCACAGTACCTGAGATTTTTTTGTGAGTGGGGCTGTGGGAGGTGTGCTGTAATGTGGCTGTGGTATGGCTAGGGGTGGGGCTGTAGGAACCATAGTAGCAGCTTCAGGGTTGGGTGTGGTGAGTGAGGCCAAATATGTAAATACACTGGAAAGATTTTGTATTTCTTTACAAATATCTTTGTGAATATCTTGCAACAGTGAACTCATTTGATACTCTGCATTTTTAAAATAGGGTTCATTTGTAGAGATAGCCTATCAACTCATATGGAGGCATGTTACTGTGGTGATCTGAATTATTTGCTATTGCTTATTCAGGCCTCTTTTCTGTTTCAATTGCCTTAGGCAAATTACCTTAATGTTGCCTTTTGTAATGTAACTTTGATGAGGATATGTGTCTTTTATTAAGGTAATTTGTAAAGACCTGAGAGATACTTTTACTAAATTAAAGGTAGTTATAGTTTCAAGGTGGAATTGTTTATTTTCATTTTTTTCTGACTTCATGAAAGGTTTTATCTATGTTATCACAAACTATCATATCAAGTGTATCAGCTTTGGGGAAGGAAAGGTAGAACATATCTATTTGTTGGAGCAGTCTAAAAACATTTTTAGACGGTACAGTAAGTTTATGTCTTTTAATAACTTTATAATCAATAAACTGAAGTCTTTCTCTTCTGTAAATAATGAATATTTTTGACCCATAGTTACCCTTGGTGATTAGAGTATAATTAATATTTGCATCTGACCAATATAATTAGGAAAATGTTCTGCTTACCTTAAAATTCATTATACGAAGTCCATTGGGTTGTCTCCTTGATGACCGTCCCTTCTTGTGCTATGAAGGTCATGTGTTCTGGCCATGTCAAGTGCAAAATTTTTAACCCAAATACTGAATGCAGTCATCCAAGTATTGTAATCTTTTTCCCAGTCTTCCTTACAATCCAAAGAATTACATTTGTAATCCCATTGAGATGTTCCCACAGTGAGAGTAAAGACACCAAGACATATTTCAAGTTAAAGGCGGCCAAGGGGTCCTAAATCCAATCCCCATGAGGATATGTGGGCAAAGGCCATGATCCAAGGCCTCACCCAGAATTTGGTATCTTCTGAAGAAGGGGATGGCCCAAGGATAAGTGACAATGAGGATGGTGGGAACTATGTGAGTAACTTGAGCTGCCTAGCCAAGTAGTGAGAAAAATATTTGTGTTTAATACAGAGACAATACTATGCAGAAGAATTGATCTGCATAATTCAATTAAGTAGCAACTGAACTGTTTTTGGAGGCTGTTGCTTCACTTGCTGATATGTAAACTTTTGTGCCCTGGGGACTCTTAGCCTCTTTACCTTGAGGCTCATACCCAGTTGACATTCCTGGAGCTGACTGGCTCTACCATCATGATGTACCCATATCTTTTATAGAGAGCACTATGTGAGAAAACAGGAGACTGTCTGATGGCTTTGGAGATTAAATACCAGTACCTGGGCTAGCCATATTTTCAATGCTTAGCGTCAATTGAAGAGAAAAGGAAATACCATATCAGCTCTCTACATGTCAGTATAAGGAAATCAGTCTCAAAGTTGTAGCAATTGCTCTGCATTCAAAAGGAGTCACTCAAATTGTCTCCTACACTATCTTAGAAAAAAAAAATCCAAGTTTTTCCCTATAATTCTACTATAGTAATTTATTAATGTCTCTCTGTCACTATATTCATTTTTTTTGCATTTTCCTTTGACCTGCAAGACTTATATACTCCTTAATTTTATTTTTATTCTGTATTTCTGATTTTAATCATTCACCCATTCTCAGCACTTGTTCTATCACTGAGCTATGCCCATAGTCCCTAATTGTATTCATATAAAAGTATAATTTTTCTATAATTAAATTGTGCAATCTGTATGTTTATATTGATTTGTTTTCCTTTGAAATATTCATTTTATTTCTTCTTTGTAACAACTTTTATCAAAAATATCTTATAGTTGGCACTATTGCCTCTTGGAATTTTAATCATTATTATTACATGTCCTTGCCTTAGTTATATAATCAACTGAGTATAACTTAATTTTCAGATCAAAGATGTAGACTCTGGAGATAAGCTTTTCTAGCTTTGATACCTCTTTTTAGTCAAGGCTGTCTATTGCTTTTTTAATGAAAATAATTACAGAATGAAGTGTATATTTGGAAATGCCTAAAGTATAACTTTAAGTTCACTTTATTTTTATACTTTCAAAGTTTTGGTTAAACTGTAGACTTCTTTAATCATTTTCCCTTGACTTCTACTTTTAAATGATCAATTGAAAATCATTTTCAGAATGATTATTTTAAAGATTATGTATGCAATAAATGTCTACATTTTTGTGCCTGTGAATTTGTTCACACATATATATCAATAGATATAAGCACATAGCACTATCAGATATTTAAATTGTACTGTATTCCAACATTTACCCAACTCATTAGTTTAATGTATAAATGGAAAAATATATAATATTTTACAATGCTTAATTTAAAATATAAAACAATAATCCTTTCTGTCTAATCAAACTCCAGCAAGTATTTCCAGTAATGTTCATAGCATACCATAATCCAAACATAGTAGCACATGCTTGAAATCCTGAAACTCTGGAGATTGAGTCATAAGATTGCTAGTTTGAGCTCAGACTGGGTAATTTAGTGACTTGGTGAGATTTTGACTCAAAATAAATAAAACAGACTGGAGATATAGCTCAATGTTAAGGCCGTGAGTTCATTCCCCGGTACTGAGGGGTTAGGGTATGGAAAGAAAAGAAAAGGACAACAAAAAATAAAGCAAAAGAGAAAGAAACAAAATATATAATAGAACATAAGGTGAGGAGAAGTTCTGAAAGGGACAAATTGGAAGTCTTTCTTTTCTCTTCATTTTTTTTCTCAAAGCATTATCAGTCACAGGTTCATTTCTGGTAATGAGGAATTATATCTTCTTTGACACATTTCAGCTTTCTCAAGACACAGAGAGAAGCCTGTTTCAATTTGCTGTTCCATAAAATTAAAAGAAATGGATGACCAGATGGATATAAAAATAGAAGCAGATGCATAAAAACCCTTATCGTCACAGTGTCTTGAACACAATATTCCAACATTATCATAAGATAGCCGACATAGTGCGTAATGAAAAGAAGCAGTGATGAAATCATGGCCTTCATGGCTCTTACATGGGCCTCCATGCTCAAATCCCTAGAATACATGCCCTGTAGCTTCATTCGCTTGGTGTGTCTCCATAAGGAGAAGAGTAAAAGTAAGAAAGAAGACAATGACACCACAAAAAAGATAAAGAGGATGATGTTAAGGGGAATGAAATAAATTAAGCTATCATAAAATTTCTTTGTATAATGGGATGTGAAGTTTTGTTCTATTTTTACCAAATGTTGCATTGACACACTTGTGAATACATCAATGAAAACAAGACTCACGCAGAAAGAAAATACTGATCCCAGGATTATAACAAGAAGTACCACACGCATCTTCTGCTTCATCCAGAGGAAAACGGGGTTGGAGAAGTTAGCTATCTTGAAGAAATAAAAGACAGTGAGGCAGGTGCTGGAGGCTGTGCAAAAATAGTTGGATCCTGTCCAGAGAATAATAACAATCATCAGCACACTTTTAGAGACAAGAACTTTTTCATATACTAATTGGAAAGTGATAGTTGAAAGTGTTGCACAAAGAAAACATATCCTAAATCCAGCCAAGCCCATGAGAATAAAATCAATCAGGGAGGACTTCCGCTTTCTGATCCAGTCATTGCATAGTATCAGTATAATAAAACCATTTCCAAAAATCCCCATTATGAATTCCACAATAGAAATGATCACAGACAAAGTCTCCAAAATGCTCATCATTTCTGTTCATAGAGAATCTTTGCCTTCTGGAAGAACTTGTATAGATTTATGTATCCAAAGGTGCAATGTCCAGTGAGTGGCTTCTTTCTCTTTTGTTGATGGCTTATGGAAGAGACTGAAGAATATCTAAATTAAGCTCACAAGCAAGTTCTCACTGATTTATAAAATCTGCACTTGATTGTCTTAAAAAAATCAGTAATGTGTTTTAAAGGCTTGTATAGGATTCTTTGCTGCTATTGGCATATTTATATACTACATATAAAGCTTTGCATTGGAATTTACATCCTCATTTGGGAACATGCAAAATAAAAACAGATTTTCTTCCATAATTTTACATTATCATTCTTTCCTTAAAATTTGTTCATTTTTATACATTAACTCATATGATTTTCATCCTTATTCTGGAACTGGAGAACTTAGGCCTACATATCTAGATTTTATGATCACCATATGTCTTCATGATCGATCTGAAACATATAGCTCACTTATATAACACCAAAAGTTTAGGAAAATACAGAATATTTACATTATGTCAAAATAACTAAATCTTGTGGAGTCTCTTACAGTTTTAAAATCTGCCAAAAATTATTTGTAATACTTTTTAGGATGTCTGATGTCTCCATCACCTTTCCTTGAATTTTGGATGATTTCTAACCACTTCAACTAAAGAAAATTGGTAGAGATATTTTTCAGGAATTTCAGAGCTCAATGACAGACATTTGTGGAATTTACTATTGATTACTGGAACTACTAGTCCTGAAACTGTGAGCCATGTGGCGATATGATGATAATTCAATAAGTATGAGGCTGCAGTAACCAAACTACATGGAGACTAAAGATAGACTCTTGGTCAACAGTGTCACCTGAGTCCATGTTTGAGTCTTTTAAAATTCCAGTTACTATACTTACAATTCTAGGATAATTTGTGTTTTAACTGTCCAACAAGATACCTCTTAGCCACATGCCACATATTTGACCTTTTTAATTCATATTAATTTAAATGCTAAAAAGCTTATTCCACATTATTACTATAAGTGTTCAATAACTACCTGTAATTCATTAACTGCTCCATAACCAGCAAGGACATTGAACGTTTTCATCATTGTTGTTTTTTTCACCTATGCTATAGAAGATCTCATTCTCTAATATTTGAATGATTACAGTTGCACATGTTTTTCTGCTAATGACTCACACATTGCTAAACAAAAGAGACGATGCTGCTATGACCAGTCCAAGATTTTGACTTATAAAATCCATATGCATTAAAATTGTGGTTATTTCCTATCCTGAAGTTTTGGGATGGTTATGTTACACATTAGTAAATTATCAGCATAGAACTATCAGTAGTATATCAAAAAAACATATATTGTTACTTCAAATTTTGAATGTCTCAAATAGAGCTATGCATAACATATTTAGTTTCCTAATATAATGTGCTTCATGCAAATTATTCAAAACTTTTGCATTCATTGAACTCATTTTCCTTCATCTGACTTTGTTTGGATGACATCAAACAAATTAAGGTTAAATTATCAGATTCTTTGTGATAATGTCACTTCTGGATCTTTCTCTCAAAGTAGGTTGTATAAAATTTAATACAATGAATTAAAAAGAAAAACAACCCCATAGAAACAGAAATGAGAAATAAATGTAGAGCTAGGAGGATTTGATGTGACAAATCAACTGTGTAATTCACAAGGTATACTAGGTAAATATATTGTGAAAATTCTGTCTTTACAAAACAAAGTTGATTCTAAAATATTCAGTAAAAAGTACCAGCAAAAAGCATTGTGATGAAAGAGGATTATTTCATTTACAAAAACAAAACTATCTCTTAAATATCTTCTCTGCACAAGACATTTAGAGCAGAGACACAAGAGGGAGCAAAATAATATTTATATGTGTTTTATGCAATTATGATCCAGAATAAAAATTTTATAATAGAAAATACAGTGTGTGAATTTAAAATACAATGTATAAGAAGTTGACAGTAAAAGTAGAGCAGCAAAATTGGATGCAACATTGAGAATGTGCCTTTGAGAAAATATCTAAAATAAGTAAAGAGATGGCTTATGTTTTCTGGGGTAAGAAACACATTACAAACACAGAATAGCAAATGATGATTGTGCAACATTGAAACTCCAAAGCATGTTTGCAAAAAAATGCACCTTTGGTACTGAGGGAGGCAGAGAGTAGTCCTGAGAAGTGAGTTCAAAAAAGGAAGAGATGTGAATGGAGCAAAGCTTGTAAGCCTTCACAGAGTTTGAAAGATTAGGGATTTATACAGTGGTACAACATAAATTATAATTTTATAAATTCTCATTCAGGATAAAGAATATCTCTACAGATATTGAAAAATAAGAAGATTCTTTTAGTATACCAGAGAAAAGATGACATTAGACCAAGACATAGTTTAAATACTTGTTTCAATTCAATTCATATTGGAGAGGACATAGAAATGTTGTAGGACTTTGCTTGTAGATATATTTTAACACTGCATGAAAGGTGTTGTTGTATAAGTATTACTTCTGAGAATAAATGTGGGAACAAAGATTTCTCTAGATTATGTTATATGTTTCTAAAGTATGAAGGCTGTTTTTATAGCAGCAGAAACCATTGTACCAGAAGCAATATCAAATGTGGATATGGATTAGACTGTGTTTGCTAAAAATATGTACCATTTGCACAGATGTGTTAAGAAGGAAGTTGTGTATGTAAATCTGAAATTTAGAAACATGTCCTGGATTTAAAGACCCAAAGGAATAGGGCAAGATCTAGGATTTTATGAACATGATTTTAAGTGAGACCATTAAGTGTTAGTTTAAATGTAGTGATAAAGGATATAAGGAAGAAGCATAGGAAAAGAATCTGAAATACCAATAAGTGAGACATAGAGAACTCCAAACAGCCAAAACCAAGATAAGTCTACATTCTGAAATATAATAATAAAGACCCAAGAAATTCAACATAAAATAGAATACTAAAAGTTGTAAGAGAAAAAAAAAAGATCACCTATCAAAGAAAACACATTTAAATCATGGCTGAATTCTAAACATAAACCCTGAGGATTAATAAGCTTGAGTGACATATTTAAAGCCCAGAAAGACAAAAACTTTCAACTCAAATTTATGTACCCTGCAAAACTATCTTTCAAAACTAATGGAGAAATAATATATCTCAGTGATCAAGAACAACTGAAAAAAACTCATATCCACAAAACTAACCCCAGAAAGGATACTGAGAGATAGTAAAGAGAAGATAAAAATGACCACAATTCCCAGAACATGAACAGAAAAAACCAGAGACACAGTAAGTAATTAAACAAAGGGGAAAAGCACAGAACCAACAACAGGGAAATCACATAACAAAGATAGGCCAAAAACATCAGTTATAATTATCAATATGAATGATCTCCATTCATCAATTAAAAGAAGTAGATTGGCAGAATCAATGAAAAAGAAAAAAGAACCCAACAGTATGCTGTCTAAAAGAAACATGTTACTCAGAAAGAATCTTGTAACCTGAAAGTCAAAGGATAGAAAACAACTTTCAATGCCATAGGACTCCTCCAAAAAAACCATGGGTAACTATGCTGTTTTCAGACAATGTGAACTTAAATAAAACATGATCCAAATAGATAAAGAAAGTCACTATATAATTGCTAGCAGAAAACTCAACAGGAAGAGATACCAATCATAAATATATATGAAACAAATATTGAAGCACTCAACCATATAAGACAAATAATAACAGACATGAAAAATAAAATACGCAATGACACAATTGTAACAGAGGAACCTAATACACCACTGTAACAAAGTAGACCAACTACACAAAACAATTAGCAAAGAAATAACATAACTGAATTAAAAGTGTGACAAATGGACTTACTAGATGTTTACAGTGTTCCACCTGACAAAATCAGAATACACATTGTACTCAGCTGCACATGGTACATTTTCTAAAATAGACCACATAGAACATTCTTAAATAAATTCAAAACAATTGAAATTATCCCATGCAAATTATCTGACCATAGGACAAAGAATTTGGAAATTAATGACAGCTGAAACTGCAAAAAGTATATGAACACATGAAAATTAAGTTATACTCTCCTGAACAAACACTCTGTTACAGGTGAAATTAAAGAAGAAATTAAACAATATCTGTAAGTCAAGGAAAATGCAGATACAATATACTGGAACCTGTGACGTGCAAATGAAGCAGTCCTAAGATGAAAATATATACCAATGAATTCTCATATCAGGAAAACAGAGCACAAATTATCTAATGCTTCTCCACAAGCTTCTATTAAAAGAAGAACAAATCAAGACCAAAACTCATAAAACAGAGAAAATGATAAAGATCAGAGCAGAAATTAATGCAATTGACACCAAGAAAGCATTAGAAAGAATTGATGAGTTGAAGAGTTGTTTGAAAGAATAAATAAAATTAATAAACCCCTAGTCCATCTTATCAATAAAAAGAATGAAAAAAAATTCATGCAATGAGGAATGAAAAAGATGGTATTACTAAAGATCCTATGTAAATTCAGAAGACTTTTAAAATTGTATTTAAAGAAAAAAAAGGTAAAAGGGTACAAGTAATACAGAATTTCAAAATAATAAACAGTAAGAAATCACTAGTTAATAGATTGCATATTGTCATCTTATAAATAGTTGTTCAAGTTACAAAACTGAAACATACAAAATGAACATTCAATCAGTGAGACTGCAAACAGTTCTGTTCAATGATCCAACAAAAACTTAGTAATATGGTCATCTATCTTACACATCTAAACATACTTGCAGTTGTATCCTTTAGAGCGCTTTTTTTCCCCTCTCTTTTTTACAACAACATCTACACATTTTGGGTTTTATTACTCCCATAGGTGTATCCTTTAGAGCACTTTTTTTCCCTCTCTTTTTTACAACAACATTTACACATTTTGGGTTTTATTACTCCCACAGTTCTTATTACTTTTTTGGAAGAGAATAAAACC